TGGTAGCACGCTCACAAGGGCTAGACTCAGACGCCCCAGAGAGAAAATACTGTTCACGTCACAGGGAGGCCTGGGCACAAAGATGACCATAAGCCACTGCAGGCTTGCATGCTGCCAACTTCACCACGCCCCTGGCTGCCAGCTGAGGTCCCAAGCTAATGCTCCTTGGTCCTCTCTCCCCTTGTGGAGGATGCCCTGGGCAACTCTCCAGGCCTGCTGGGCACATGTCTACCGGAGAGCTGGGGACGGAAGTCAGCCCCACTCCAGTGACATGGGTAGAGGTGGGCAGGTGGCTCCCAAATGAAAGATGAGGTGCCTTCATCAGCTGAGTGGTGTGGGGCTGGGCGGGCAGAGACAGACAGCAGGCAAGACCTGGGAAGGGCTCCCCCAACAGCCAGGGAGTCCCTTCTGCTCACCTCTCCAGCTCTTTCCTTGCGATGTGGCCATGTGAGGGAGTGTGTGGCTGGCTGCGCCTCACCTGCGCGCAGGAGCCCTGGTACCTGGCTGCGAGCGCTTGGCTGACAGTTCAGACCAGCCCGTGGCTCCCGGGAAAAGACTGGGTGTCTAGAAAGCCCCGTGGGGCTGTCCTCTGTCGGAGAGGTCACTGCCGGTCAGAGTGGATTTGATGGCATTGTCCGTGGGTCTGAAGAGTGCTGACAGACATGCTTGACTCTTTAAAAGTAACGTTTGTCCTTGAGAGTAGACACCCATTTACCAGTGTCTCCAGTGTCTGGAACCCCTCCCCTGGCACACTCCCTACCCCCACCCCCAGGTGTGAAGCCTGGACTAAAGAAGCTGGGCTGGGTCATGAGTCAGAGGAGAGTGTGGCCACCAGTCACCATTCTGCCATGGCCTGATCTCAGCGTGGCACCAGTGCTTTGTTTTCTGCAGCTGCCACAAGCCAGAGTTCACACCTCCTCCACAGGTAGCCAGGCAAGGGCGCCCAGCCAGTCCCACCCACATTTGGAAGAAATGTGACAGGCCACTCATTCTGAAACCCAGAAAATCACAGGCCTTCAAGTTTGCAGAAATGAAGCATGGGAGGAAGAAGGTGGTGTGCCTCCTCGTCCTCATAGCCCTGCCCAGGAAGTCCTGGGGTCCCAGCTTACCCAGTGCTCTCCCCATTGCTGTCCTGTTGGGAGGACAGCCGCCCCCCCCCCCACACACACACACCTTTGCTTCACTTAGAGCAGCAACCCGAGGCAGAGAATGATGGGTACACTGTCTCCTTTGTCCTTTGCTACGGCAACGAAGAGGCACTGATTTCATGGCCTTACCTTTAGGGCTGCTCTTGTCTCTAAGTTCCAGCCAGGGCACACGGCCGGCTAGCTCAGGTAGGATGGGGAGCCTCGTCTTAGGGCCTCAGCCCTGCCTGCCTTTACAGTGTCTTCTCTGAAAGGCTCTATTGAAATCAAGGGAAACCTGACTGCATCCCGGTGCCCACCCCAAGCCCCACAGAGTTTTCTAACTGGGTCGAGCCAGGGCTAGGGGCTGTGAGGTTAGGCTTGAGCCTCCGGAGCAGCTCTGTGGCCTTAGAGATACCCTCTCCCTCTCTGAGGAGGGGCTTCATCAGACCCAGCTCCCAGGCCATCTTACATGCGAACAGAAGCACGGTGCCACCTGAGGGAGGGCAGAGCAGGGCCTTGGAGGGGCGTTGAGTTTGGCCAGGCCACTTGGTGAGTGTCCGTAGGTGTGTGAGAGAGT